TTATGTGATAATTGATAAAGCAATGGAAAAAGGTATTGTGGCCTGTAGAATACTAATTAATTTTGAATTTTATATATATATATATATTTTTTGTTAAACGAGCCGAGCCTGAGCTTTTAAAATCAAGAAAAGCCCGAGCCCGAGCTCAAATTTTTGAGCTCGTCACGAGCCGAGCCCGAGTTGATCCCATAAACAAACGAGCTGAGCCCGAACAGCCTAAAGCTCGGCTCGGCTCGGCTCGGCTCATTTGCAGCCCTAGCTCCAACCCTTTCTGAAATCTCGGCTCCTCTCTGTCTGTCCTCAAACTCTCACTCTGTTTCTCAAACTCTCGGATCACTCTGAAATCTCTCTAATTTTTCTATCTCTCAAATGCTCACCAAAGCCATATATAAAGGAAATTACCGTCGTCACATTATACAAAATATCAACTAAAGGACAACTTTTTTTTCTCAAAAGCCAGACAACCCACGTAAACAATGCAGAGCCAAGTGAAAATTGGCCAAATAATCCTAGTGGGTCCCACCCCACTTTATTTTCTTTCTTTCTTTCTTTCTTTCTTGCCTTTTCTTTTTTTGCCTTTCCAATTCTGCCGTCACCAGCTCTCTTCTATCACCATCCTTATCACCATATATATATTAACATGTGACAAAAAATGTATATATATATATATATATATATATATATATATATATATATATATAATGCAACAAAAAACCAAATCCAAATCCCAAAATCTCTAATAATCAATCTTTACAATTTAAAAATGGTAAAAACAAAAATAAAAATAAATAAAACTCTTAAAAATCCGGATTATCACAGCCATACCTTACTGGAGCTTGGCTACCGGTACCACAAGTTTGGTACCCTTTCCAAAGTGGTCCTCACTTTGCAAAGGCACACTGCATTGTGGGAAATGGTTCCCACATGGGTTACCTATTCTTGGCAGCGAGTAAAGGCATATAAGAGGTTTATTTTGCACTCTCTCTCTCTCTTTATATGCACACTCTCTATATATTCACTCTCTCTATATATATTTCTCATATATATATCTTCACATATATGTTTCAAATTTGCATCATATCATTGCATCCTTTCCATTGCAAATTGAATCAACCTATTGAAGGATGAAAATTGAAGATTTGAATAATGAAATTGAAGTTGAAGATTGAGATTGAGATTAAGGAGTTTGGGATTTTGAGAAAGAAAACTTAGAGGATTTGGTTGAGTTTGTTCTAAATATTTGGGTAAATTATGAATTGTTTTTAGGTTTTTGTCACGAAATTGCCAAAGGAGGAAATTGTGAGATATATTTTTGTAATTGGCATATTTCGGTTACAAAACAAGTCCTAGTCGAGTAGTAATTTCAGTTACCATATCAGACTCGACATCAACTACAGAATTCGGAGGTTGTTCAGAAGATGAAAGTATTGTTGATCATCGAAAGAAAAGAACAACATATTAGGACATCGTTTTCCACTAAGGACACAAATACATATATGGTATATTTTCCAGAAGTTCCAAAAACAGAAAATCCAGGTACAAATTGGATTCTGTCAAGTGTGAACCAGTACCTGAATTTAGGAACCGGTTCCACAAGTTAAGATTCGAAGAACTTCATTCTGTCCTTTGGGAACCGGTCTATCCTTTGGGAACCGGTCTATCCTTTAGGAACTGGTTCTAGGAGTCCTGATTGCAAAAAGTTTTCACTTACCTTGTTCTGTTTGATTCCTTTTTTATCCGACTTTCCTTCTAAGTCCTATGCACGAAATTACCTTTATTTTCAGAAGAAATAGGACTTTGCAAACCTCTATATAAACCATGTCATACACATAAGTTTATTAATGGCTTTTGTTATACAAATTTATTATTCTTAAAAGCCGTAGGAAGATTATTTTTGTAAAAAATCAGAGTTAATTTTTCTGTCATCTTTCTATAACACATACACATAAGCACATGGTGAGTTTAGAGTTGTGGTGTTCAAATCATGATCGTGATCATACAGTTGCATCTACATCGATCAGACGAAAACAGATCTACTTCTACATCGAATTCAGACGATTGAAGAACAAAAGGAAAAACGATCACACTTTGAAAGGGTTGGAACATTCGAGGAATGTTATCTAATCTACCTGCTACTCTTCTACAAATATCAAGCATAAGCCTGAGGTCAAGTTACTGTTAGATGGGGAGTCACAAAGCCAGATGATTGTCAACAATTGGTGTTTAGTAGAATGATAGGGTTCAGTGTACTTTGTTTCAAGTATAGTGGATCGGTTTACTTTGGACTGCACAATCCATGAGGTTTTTTCTACGCAAACAGTTGACATATTTTATCAACAGGGGTTTCTTCGTTAAAAATCTTAGTGTCATCTCTAACTTTACTTTGCTTTATTTTATATTACATGATATTAATTTATTAATTGTTAAAATAAAGAAAGTTAGAAAAATACAAGATCTATTTTTAAAATAAACAAAATTTTCTAAATATTTCACTGCATACAACACATCAAACTGATATCGTCTCTTATTTCATACCATAGCTGCAATATTTAAGAATGGTCGTGTTACAGTAATTATAAGGGAGACGTGAGGTAGAGCGAGATGCTCAGTCCTTTTTTTTTTTTTATTAAACTGAAAATGAAATTTGAATCTATTATTTGTCCAGATGTAAGCCTTAATAATTAAGTGTTATATAATATTATTATTATCATTCTTATTATATATAATATTAGCTCATCTCACTTCCAATTTCGTTTGCAAAAAACAAAAAAACTTCCAATTTCGTAACTTCGGTCGACGTTATGTTTTGTTGGGATAAGTGGATCCACAAATCATGACTCAGCTTAGATATGGAAGGGGCCCAATAAAGATTTGCCATCATGTCATATGGTCACTAGTTTGATATAAGATCAATACGTTGCCGTTTCTTTTTGTAAGTTCATTTTAATTTGCCCCAAAGTTAGCATGAGTACTGTTGAACTCACTAATTATTTGGTTTATCTGCTCAAATTGAGGACTTAAATACAAATGTGCTTTATATATATGAGGAGTTAAATACAAATGTGCTTTATATATATATATATATATATATTACAAACCTTTTTCAATATAGGATATGTAGCCAATATGAACCAACAGAATACCAAACAATAGGGACATGTGAAGATACTCATGTTCAAGCTCCCATAAACATCGCAATGATGCATCAGAGACATAGACTGATGTTTGGACCCATCTCACACACAATATGTCTATCGATTTTGAATCATGGCTCCATATATATCTTCCTTGATCAATCAGACTGTTTCAGGACCTCTATATATATATATATATATATATATTGACATGACAAAGGAATTATAGGTTGATGGTTATAATTATGCAAAAATACAACGTGGTATCCTACAAATGAAATATTAACAAATAGTGATAAAATTATTAAAATATTTTTTATTTATATAACAAAATATAATTAAGTGATAACATCAAAAATAAAAATAAAAATAAAGATTTTTTTTTTGCATGGTAGGATGCCTTCCAAAGGTGTATGGTCAGCTTTCTTGGCCTTACATGCGCCTAACATTTCCCCACTCTAAAATATTTATTGGGCATGAGTACTAGATTTGGTTTTTGACATAAACAAGAATAATATATTGAGGTCAAGGCCAAAAACAGGCCGAATCATTAATTTAATGCGTTCACTAGATTAAACTAACACTTGCTGAATAAGCAAATAATCTAGGGTTGGGTCCCCCAAATCGCTGCATTCAGATGAAGAAAAAGCAGGAATAGTTCTTGTTCTCATGGTTGTACCATCAATCAGAACCACCCCCTTTATTTTCTGCAAATTAAAGACTCTAAAGTCCTACAAGCACTTGCATTTGTTTGTATCATAAATTTGATCATTAACTAGGGCATCCATTCACATTCCGGTCACATTGGCTAAATTTTTTAAACAGGATTAAAGGGTAGTTCTGATAATTCATTCGAGTAAAATTTGAAAATAAAAATTATTCTCACCCTCACGTGGGCCCTAACAGACACACAAGAGTGTGTGGAGCCAACCACAAACAACATTGGCCCCACACATCGTACTCTTGTGTGAGTCAGGTAGGGCCGACGTTAGTGCTAATAATACAGCTCAATTTGAAAAAAAGTAGACAAGACATCAACCACTATATCATAACCAATAGAAGATGATATTATTAATTCTATATTATCAATAATTAATATACCGTGTTAGTGGCGATGATGACTCAAGTAATTTTGCATAGTTCAATCTTTTGGGTGCATGTAAAAAACATCAAGTTAGGATCAAAATCCAATTCAAACACTTCACTAGCCCTGGTCAAGTGATACTACTTTTTAGTTCTTAAAAACCATATATAATTCACTAATGAGTCAATAGGTTATTAAATTCAATTGGCAGCCCTTCTTTGCTCTCTACCTAATGCATGGAAGTTTAAGATCTCTTGAACAAAACACATCAAAACTGCTATAACTTCATTAAGCAACCAATTTATTCTATCTGTATATTCATGAAAATCTAAGACCAGGTAGCTCTCCCCTATGCGACTTCGATTCCGTATTGTATGTTGTGTCGCTACATTGCTTATGAGCTTTACATAACAACTTTACATCCCTTATGTAATTGCTAGATTATTTCATTGTGATGCACTTCATCGTAAAACTATTGTTATGAGAGGTAATGCATTGCACTATGATACATGACACGGCACTTAATGCCCCCTCTGTGGAGGTGATTTAGATTCCTCGTGGAGGAACTCATTAGAGGATTTTTGCTGAGTCCGACTAACTGCACCGAAGGTATCATAGAATATGGTATGATGCAATTAAAATGATGATAATAATTGCATTGATAATGGCATACAATAATTGTGGATTATGCTAGCGTTTGAAAGCATAGTTAGTGCAAATAGCTTTATATACAATAAAGTGGAAATATGAGACAGAGAGAGAGAGAGAGAAATAGAGAGAATAAAAGCACTACACTAGGGCCCATCTCATGTCTCCTCCAGCTTAGACTCCAAAGATGTGAAATTCATCTTTCTTCACTGCACCATACCATATTCTTCCACCTCCATCCCCTTTTCATCTCTTGCCAAAAATACCCAATAATTCCTTCTGCAACAATCATGTCATGCCACACAGAGAAATACTCTGCCCAAGGATCCCAACCCGCCGGTGACCAGCATCAGCCACCGGAGCCCTTGAGCCGATACAAGTCGCAGAAGCAGAGAGACTGGAACTCCTTTGGGCACTACTTGAAGAACCAGAGACCCCCGGTTTCGCTCTCACAGTGCAACTCCAGCCATGTCCTTGAGTTCCTTCGCTATCTGGATCAGTTTGGGAAGACTAAAGTTCACTTGCATGGTTGTGTCTTCTTTGGACAACCTGACCCTCCTTCTCCATGTACTTGTCCTCTTAGGCAAGCTTGGGGAAGCCTCGACGCGCTGATTGGACGCCTTCGTGCTGCATATGAAGAGAACGGTGGCTTACCGGAGAAGAATCCGTTTGGAAATGGAGCTATTCGTGTTTATTTACGCGAAGTGAAGGAGTGTCAAGCTAAGGCGAGGGGGATTCCGTATAAGAAGAAAAAGAAGAAGAAGAAGAATCAACTCAAGGCGAATAATGATCATGTTGAAGTGGATTCCTCAAAGCAGCCCACTTAGCTCATTTGGCTTCTTCAGAGAAATGGTAATTTTGTTACACAAGAGACCTATATAGATGAATAGTACTTAACTCTCAAGAAACTATTTCTAGTGGTGGCTTAAAATTCAGCTTCATATATAGCATTATATATAAAAACAAATAACAAATAAAAGAATAAAGGATCAATGTCATGGGTTTGGAGAATTGAAGTAGTGATTAGCAGATCATCAGCATTAATATGGATCAATAAGCTGTTAGTTTAAGGGTTAGTTTTTCTTAGGACAAAATGATCAGACATTTAATATTTGTGGTGATCTAATATATAACCTTCATAGAAGAGAAACCCTAAGTTCATAACCACAAAAGGCAGGAAGCCCTAATTTGCATGATCACTTTTAAGATGTGAACAAAGACTTGAAGAACATTTGGAATATGAGAAACTTTATAACCTTGAACATTTTAATCTTATACGTACTTGGTCTCACAGACAATAGACACCATCATTATAGTGGATAATCATACATCTTCTTCTTCTTTTTTGGGTAAATTAATGGATAATCATTTATCTCTCTCTCTCATATCTTGCAAAACACTGTTTATGTGATTCCCTCATTAAAATTTTATTGCTTATGTACATATATTTTTACTTTTTACTTGATTTGGTTCTTTTGGGATTCTGCATGATTATGCCCCCCATGGATGAACATGCATGATATAATACATATATATTTTGCCTGTCCTTAATTTAATACACACACAGTGAAATTGAAATTAACATGCATAAACTTGTGGTGGAAATTAACACACACACACATATATATATATAAAGTCTTGCATATATATATGCCCTTGTATATACATATCTTATTTCGTCAGTAAAATACTAGGTACATCCTGATTTTAGAATCTTCTAAGCAGTTATTAGTTACACCATCTCTGATTCATATGTCAGTAACATTGATTTTATTTTTATATCTGTAAGTACCTGTGTTCCCCAAGGTTTATGCTCCAATAAGGGGGAAATTTGTGCTTAGAAACAGTCAATATGTATGAATTTCTGATGTGTTAGCATGAAGTTGATGACAGATACATTTATGGCATATGGTTCCCAGATAGGGAGGTTCAATGGGCTAATTCTACACAAATCAGCTTCTAAGGATTTTTTTTTTTTTTCCCCTTTCCCTTTCCTTGCTTTTCTTCACTTTTCTTTTTAGGCAAAGCCATCTCATTTGTATTTCCCTGATCAATATATTTTTGTTGTATCAAAATTCAAATAGATCGATAAAATACTCCAACAAAACCTTGAAAAGTCTAGAAAATACGCATGAGGACAATTAAAATTTGTGTCTGCAGGCTCCAAATGTGTCCTCTAGGGGTACACTTGTAATTTCTCAATACACGAGTTTGCCAGAATCCTCATATCTGTATTTGTATCTAAAGGGGAAGCCAAGCAGGCTCCAAGTGTGCCCCCTAGGGGTACACTTGTAATTTCTCAATACACGAGCCTGCCAAGATCCTCATATTTGTAGCTAAAGGGGAAGCCACATAGGTTCCAAGTGTGCCTTCTAGGGGAACACTTGTAATTTCTCAAAATATACGAGCATGCCAGGATCCTCATATCTATATTTGTAGCTAAAGGGGAAGCCAAGCAAATATTTATAACCATCTCCTAAGTCTGAAGTGTACTAGATGATAGTTATGACTAGCTAAAACCACAAATATACAACAATATACTTTTAAAAAGATATAACATTCTCTTCATTAATTTGAGAAAGTCCAAGAAGGATGAATTACAAGTTGGTGAATGATACTTTAATGTAGAAGGACCTAGTTACTAAAGGATTCACTTGTTGAACCATTGATTACCTGTTACACATGGATGTAAAGTGAAGAGCTGTAAACTACACTATGAAAGTAAGTAAAGGCAAACAGTGTAAATCTAGGATTACAAATTACACTGAGAAAGCTAAGTGCAGAGCTAAGGTACACGTATAGTAATGTAAAGCTAAATGTAGATGGCACATAGCCCGATAGATGTAAGAGAAGCTATGTGTGCAGTACTTTGTTCCCGTCATATGAATGTTCTATTTATAGTGTTTGAGATCCTTGGCTCCTCAGTTGGATGTGTGCCACATGAATGGTCAAGATGGCTTTGTGATAAAGGCTATTGCCGCACCTGAGGGGTGGTAGGTTGGAAATGGTTCTCCAATTGTTGTAGACACTTGAGAGTCATTTTATTTGGGTTACTTCACTTAGTGCCTCGTCTCTTGATGTGACAGAAGTAGGTGACTCCGTTCGTTCTGAATCTAGTACGTCTGTCTTTTAGTTATTGTTTATACAAATGTCCGACCAGAGAAACAAGATTATAACTTCTTATAGAAAGAATCTATTTTATTATGAGATATTGAGGGGTTAGGCATGGTCATGGGGACTGCTGATATGGCTAAGGCTGGGATCCGGTCATGCTTCTTTCACCTTTCTGCCTGAACTCCATTTGTCGTGTCACGCGTAGGTGGACAAAATACTCACTGTAGGTGTCAACAACTCGTGAAAGAACTAATCCAAATATTTTACTCTATATATCACATGAATCTAAGAATCCCTAGCTTCTTGGTCTAATCTTCTTTGCTTTGCCAAAGCACTGCTCAAACTAAATTAATTTTCCTCAATTTAACTGTCATTCGTGAAATTGACAATATGATTACCATATCCATCACCCCATACCGTCACATATTTATCCTTGTAAATTATGTCATTTGCAGCAGGAGCATATATCTGTAATTATAAGCTTCATACAGCACCATATAAGTTCAATTAAAAGCTTCATATACACCTTCCTGTAAATTTTCTTTTCATGCATTATACTTTGGGCCTGATAGGATATTTGCTTGAAATCAAAGATAGTTTCCTCTGGAGCTACCTCATAGACCTTATGTTTGATTCTGTTTATAATTTTTAATTAACCAAAAAAGCTCAAAACATCTAAAATAAAATATTTTTTCCAACCTAATTTTAGGGATAGCAGAAAAGGGATGGCATATGATATGAACACACCCAATATGGACACTATGCCTCACTTGGGGCTCGCTCAAACAGCACGTACACCTCCCTTTTGGGAGAAAAGAGCTCATACAACCTGAGCCAATGGCTCGATGTGATTAAGTTCATATCTTCTATTTTTCTTTTAGGATCGTGATCAGTTTTTATTCTACTAGCTACTGTTATAAGTTGTTCCACATTTACATTGCGTTTGAACTAAATTTCCTTCGTTTTCAAATCTAACTGTGTCAATTTCGTACTCCCAAGCATAGTTCAGGCTCATCTCTCATGAAATTTAGAGTGGTGAAGGCATGAAATAACTTTGTCATAACATAACACTCTTCTTGAATTGAATTAATCGTGACTTACACGGGGGCTGATGTTCGAGTCTCGCTAAAGTTCTCGTGATTTATCCAAAGGGCCTGCCTTTGGAGAGTTCAACGGTTATTAGATACATATTTCGTCATAACTATCAAATATGCTCGTGCTGCACCATGTTAAACAGCACACCATATTAATCGCAAATTTGAATGTTAGCTGAACCATGTTATTCGTCTAGCTAGCACAGTTTTTCTTTCCCTTTTCTCGTACTTTAATACATGCTTGCATTGTGCTCTTATCTTCTATTTGCTAGATTGAATCAATTTCATGCATTAAAATGTGAGTATTACATACTTGCTGCCCGCGTGGCACGCCTCACAAAGTAATGACCACCGAAACCCTAAGACATTCTTCTAGGTCTAACATTAAATCTCGAGGGCAAAACTCTGAAATACTCTCCAGCCAAATCAATATCTTGGTGCAGTAATTTTCCTATCTTCACCAATAATCTAAATCTATTCGGTTGTATACTTCATTTCATTCTTCCAACTCATGTTTCTAGGCCCCTCACATTGTGTGTGATTTTGTTAAAGAACTCGCCTAAAATCAATAGGCGGCGAACCTAGGAAGCACGGATACTCCTGCTCATGATTTTTTAGGAGTGCCGTGGCTCTGTGAGATACTATTTCGACACAAACACGCGAGGATACAACTAGAAGTGTCATTTAATTTAATTATTTTCTTTTCTTTGTTGGACTCGGCAAAGACAAGTCAGGGACCCTTTTCGGACATGTGGTTAGTTTTGTAATTGTATTTTAAGAAAAATAAAATTTTAATGTAATTTATGGGTTAAATAAAAATATAGTATAAAGTTTTGGAGAACTAAAACAATATCAATCCAACTCTAAGCTATAAATTTTTGCTGAAAAAATAAATTCTAAGTTGTAAATTGGTATCGCATTCACGTTAAATTTAGATAAAATAAGCAAAACTTGTTTTCTAAATATGCAATAATATATATATATATATATATATATATATATATATAGATAGATAGATATATTTTTGTAGTGTCCATGTCCCTTTTTTAAAAAAAAAGATTTGTTGTACCGCCATTTATTTATTGCATTGAACTCATATTATGTGTCCATACCGTATTCATGCTTTTTAGAATAAACCATGTCACATCTTTCCAGTAACATTTTTGTTTTGCTTTTGAAAGGTATCTTTTCGGTAACTTGACTATAAACGTTTGCACTGTTGATGCTAGTGTTGCTTCATGAAATTGTTCAAACAACACTTGTAATATGTGATACATCTAGTAGTTCCCCAAATGTGCTTCTAGGTAATCTCCTTGAAAAAAAATTCTGGTTTCAAATAGGAATACAATTAAAATTTTGACATTTCTGCTTTGCAGGATCATGCAAGACGAACACGTCATCGGAAGGGAAGGGTTAAAGGAGCAATTTCCTGCTTCATTATTTGACTCTCTTCTCACCATATAGTTTATGGGTTATAATCTAGTTCTACAACATTTTGTTTGCAGGAACCGTCTCTTTGTAAAAATTTTACTGCTTCCTACTCCTTTTAATGGAAAAACAGGAATACTATAAGTATAATTCTCTCTCTCTCTCTATATAGTGCTCCTTTTATTGGGCTTCAGAATACATCCAGATTAATCCAATAGAAATTAGAGGAAGTATAACATGCATTTTTTAGAATATATAAAACTGCACTGGATGAAACCCTAGAGATCAGTGATACCCAGGGGACACTTGCCCCTGGCCCACTATACATGTATAAATCTTTTTATATTTTGTATATATATATGAAATTTTTTATATAATGCCGCCTAAAATTATTAATTTTTTAAAGTATCACTTATTTTTTCTAGTTTGTTTCCTAATTTACTCTTTAAATACCTTTAAAAAAAAGTTCAATTTTCCTTGTTAAATTAAATTTTAATTTTTTATTTTTTTAGTTGTCATTTTTCTTACTTTTTTTCCCATCTACTCCTTTAAATAATTTTTTTTTCTTAATAATGTGCCCCTAAACTAAAATCCTAGCTCGACTATGCTAGAGACTGCAAGTAGTCCCTTCTACTATAAAAGTTCCATTAAAACGCATGCATGGAAAAGAAACCAATCTTAGGTGTTGCAAACTTGCAATACAAAATGGTGCAGCAAACAATATCCAACTGGCCTTTAATAATTCTGATTTTAACTAAAAAATATGTGAATGAAATTACTACTGAAACCTCATCATCAACCAAGAAAGACCAACACATCTGCTTAAAGGTTTAGTCACAAAGTCCTGAATGTAATTTTCCATCGTTCAGGTATTAAAATAAATAAATATTTAATTAATTATAAAAAATAAAAAATTGGATCAAGGCCACTGGCAGTCTCTAACATAGAAACAGTAGCTATGTCAACTTGATGTACTAACCAGAGATAGAGGAACCAGCCTATCCAATATATGTCCTTGCACCTAGGAAGCACGGACACTCCAAAATGAGCGAAGAATCCGTGTCCGACACAGACACCGATCGGACATGCCAAAAAACGTGTCTGAAATTTTTTTATTTTTTAAATTTTCGGACACGGCTCGAACAGCTAGACACGGCTCGGACACACTTTTCTGGATTTTTTTTTTTTTTTTTTTTTTTAATTTTTAATGCTGATATGTTAATTTTTTTTTTTTTTTTTTTTTTTTTAAATTTTAATGCTGATATGTTCTATTTTTTGTTTTGTACTACCCTAAAGATGCTGATATATATATATATATATATATACAAACCTAAAGATGCCACAATTCGCCGTGTCCGTGTCCTAAAGATGCTGATATATATATATACTAACATATCAGTGATATATATATATATATATATATATATATATATATATATTCCAACCTAAACATATCAGTGTTTTTTTAAAAAAATTATTAATGCTATATATATATATATATATATATATATATATATATATTATTCGCTGTGTCCGTGTCCTAATTTTTTTGAATTTGCCGTGTTCATGTCGTGTCGTATCCATGTCCCGTATTAGTGTCCGTGCTTCTTAGCCTTGCACCAATTAGAATGTGAAATCAAGAACCAGCAAAGTAAATTCTGCCTCAGAGACACAATTTTCATGATCCATTTCCAAAAAATTCAAATCAGAGAAGAGCTCCTAATAAAGATGGACGAATAAATAAATTGCGCGCAAAGAAATTAAGTTCTTCGATTAAGGAATGCTTGTTAAAAATAGAGGTCAGTACATCAAATCAACTGGCACATTGCCGATGCACTTAAACCCGTGAGGAAGTCAATGCACTCAAGGACAATAAAAATGCAAACACAAGATTGATAATTTAAGAGCATTTGCTGAATCTCATAATCTACTTACCATCGAAAAACCACTCAAGGACAATAAAAATGCAACCTTATAGACACTAAAGATCAGCTACAATAGCCCGTGACATAAAAATTTGAAATAAAATGACATCAGAAACATGTCTTAGATAAGCGAATGACACACCATATATATGAAAATCTTCCAAAACACAGCACCAACAGGTACATGGGAGAGAAGGTCAATGCAACTAAAGACCACAAATTTTCGCTTAAAGAACTCACTCCACTGAAGGAAAAAGGCAAAACATTAAAAAAAATAATAATAAATAAATAAACTTAAGTGATGGTAAAAGTAAGTTAGAGGGGGCATTATGAGCATATCAAAATCAGCGGGAAAGTAAAGGTGAGGACCAGATTCTACCTAGCAAAGCCACAAGGAAATAACACCGCAACTAGAAGTAAAATATCAGTGTCTTTCTTCCTGAACTGGAGATATTGATGATACTCGAGATAAAGAACTTATGCCAAATGGACAGCATGCATAAAACAGACGGTAGGATTCTGCATCCGTCTAGCAATGGGGAAACAAAAATAATAATGTAATTGCGTCCATACATTGAAATTAAATGCCATTGAACATGGACTTTCTGAACAACCTAACCTTGTATTCCAAGAAAAAGAAAACTAGAAACGGACCCGTCCAGATTATGAGGGCATCAACAGTGAAATCAAGTACTGTTGAGTTAACAAGTTGAGCAGCCCAGTTAATTAAAAACAATAAGTAAAAAGTGGTCAACATAACAAAAATATATATACTTCATCAGAACATTGACACCCCTATTTGCTGACCATGTGTTGATACTGCTAAGTACTTTTATAGTAACCAACCTGCCTCTTTTCAGATAATCAACTTCCCCTTTATAAACTTTCCGGGAATAAAAATATTCATATTCAGGGGCAAAATGTATCCCAAGTAGACATAATGTCGAAGTTCTGACTCTCTGCCACACCGTTAGCTATAAATGTCTGTAAAACAGAATGACGAAACAACTTTAATTATTAAGTCCCAGATTAATTATAAATATTATACACAAATCAATATGAAAAAAAAAAAAAAAAAAAAAAGAAACCAACCAACCACAGGAGCTGTATGTATTAGTTCTACAAAGTTCATACAATCACTTGAATTTTCAGCCTTGGATGCACATTCCAAACCAACCACATCCAAGTTATATAATCCACTAATACGTCTTTAAAAAGTTCTTAAAACACTTTGGATTTCAAAAACACACACACACACAGAGGGAGAGAGAGAGATAGTTTACTAAGGATGAGCCACTTACACTAAAAAAATATTATTTGATTTAATCAAACCATTGGGTCGATGAAAGATTTGTAGCCCCAAGTTTGAGCCTTTTCAAGTAATGCTATTTTTTCCTCGAGGCACTTGGCTATTTCCCACTAATTCATTCAATTCCTTTTAGGGATTACAAATTCGCACACATTGTCAAGTGAGACCACCATCTTATATAGAGATTTACCCCATCAAACCAATCAGAGAGAACGAGATTTTTCCTTGATATAATGAAATAGATTGACCACTTAAAGGATGAAATTGTACAGGCAGTAAAGCGAACCAGAGCTGTAACAGAAACAATAAGTTACATTTATTAATCATCTCTGCGAAGTAAACCTAATCCAAGGCCACAACTGATCAATGGTCAACGTACACAAGTCATTAAGGAGGTCACATATCCGATGACAGATAGTGGCCAAAGCAAACCCTAGATAAAGATGAATGAAAAAGTCCATGGGATAAACTTGCCCATCTTCAAAGCCCATTGTACCATGTGATGCATAATGCCACAGCAGGGACAGAGCTTTACAAAATGAATAATTGAACAATATAATTAGATAATCATTTAACAATCCCTTTCCCCATCAACATAGAAAAATATCACTGCACCTAGTTAATGAAGATTAACACCTTGTAAAATTTTCTAGTATTTTAATATTGCAGATAGAGAAAGAAGACTTGAGCCCAATAAGTCACATAACAAGTCTCAACTAAACTAAATGAAAATTTAACAACAGAAGGACCCAAACTCATTCCTACCATAGTTATTTGATACCAACAAGCTTATGCCTTATAATGCCACAAAAAATTATCTGTATCTATCTTTTTCTTGATAATATAATATGACCAATATTTGAGTTCAGATAATAAATTTGTTGGCATGATGCCACCTTACAATATATACATATATATATATATAAATCTCCTAAAGCACCTTTATATCATCCAAATGAGAGAACAGAATTTCATATTTATAGGTAATACGCTTACAGTAGATCAACAAAGGAAGATCTTTTACTAGCATTCATCATCTCTGCTTCCATCTATTAAATAGTAGACTTCACAGATGGACCTGACAGATCCAACTTATGCTTGAACAGGACGGCAGAGTTTCTTTTTATTTTGTTGTAGGACTGCAGACATATATTACTGCTCATGTCATCACTCCCATGGAAATTACCCAAATGGTCATCATCACTGTTGAAAATCTTTTCTTTGAAGTATTAAGTATTTACTAAAAACTCAAGAAGGGTAAGAAAGGCAGTTAAAAAAAAATGTAAAGCTAAACAGAAGATACAGTTACAAGAAAGGGGAATTAAACATTGAACAGAATTGGTCACACAAGAACAACTAATCTCTCAAAAAAGCCACCGAGCAAGGTCTTTAAAAATGACAAAAGACTACAAAAACTTGATATTTGGAGAATAAATTATGTGGATAAATGGATAAAAAATATTTCATTAGTCAAAAAGGATTTAGGGGTCAATGCTCTATTCTCAATGTATCATGCCCTGAAAAATAATTAATGTCGACTCCTATTGCATTCTGTTAGCTTCTAGAAGTATGTCAAGTTGGACAAAACACTGCCTTAAAATTTTGTAACAGGACAACCAACAGGAAAAGAAGATTTCTGGTATTCAAAATGTCATTGTAGAATGCAAAACTGAAATGATCATTGCTTCAAAGAAGCAAATGATCATCCAGAATACCCTATATATTTCCAGTCATCCACAACAAGAGCACTTAACTTTCCCCTTCACAATGTATCCGGAGACCTCGGACCAGCAAAAAGGAACGTTTCCATTCCTAATGTTTTTGTGGGGTGCCATTGCATGATAATATGAGACTGAATTGCAGTGTCCTCTTTGCGCCCTTCAAATAATATTATCTCAGCTGTGTGGACTCCCCCTCCTAAAAAAGGTTCATCTTAACTTCCATGGTACTTTCTTAAACCTTAGTCCAAGAGGGAACTGGGAGAATTTTTAAAGGATAAGTCGGGGTGTACAATTCTTCTTCAATCTCCAGCTGCAAGCACATTCACTAATAAAGTGAATGCTAAAGCCTCTTTAAGGGCCTCAATAAGCTATGGCTATAGGGATTCTGACTGTGTTTTATTGAACGAAATTGCACGGTTGTAATTAGGTGGCTGAAAGTGAGGTCCACGAGGTCTTTGACAGTTGGCCCTATATTCCATTAATGGAAGGGATTCCTGATCTGTGTCACATGGATATGGAGATTAGTAAGATTGCAAAGTTCACAAACAATCGAGCTCATGAGTTAGTCAAAGCTGAGAGTACAAATGCTGGAGTCAGTTAGGAGGGCCTTCTACACTCCTTGAGTGATAATTTTTTTGATAGATTGTAGTACATAGAATTTATACTTATGATTTTGTTATTTTCTGTACATCTCTTCTATGTTAGGGTGTTCTTATTTTAGTTTTTCTTTTTCCTTTCTATTTAAAGGATTTCTCATACTCCCCCTGTTGTATCTTTATCTTCTAAAAATATGCCTCTTTTTTTTATTAAATAATAATAACAACAACAATAATGATAACCTAGAAGATTAACGAATATTTCACCTGTCAGACATCCATTTCCATACCTACCAACCTTTTTCTATTACTGATTATCAAGTAGAGCAACCGTAGAACTTTAGCAATATCATTCATCATCAAAATAATACTCTGTCACCAACAATTAGCTACTGCATATGTTATGATCTTCAATGCACTAGTTATCGAGATACACAAAGCAGAATGCATTAACCTACATATAAATAGGAACCCATATCACCAGTCATGGTTCCAGCTCAAACAAATACAACATATTGGATGGTCTCAGCATCAACATTGAAAGTTAACCATTCAAATATTCATAATGATCCTAATGAAAGACACATTCCAATAAGGTGAAACCCACAACAAGATTCAAAACCAATTTTTTTTCCTCATCTCTAGGTGATGAAGGAATGACCAAGGTATGGATTTCATCTATGAATACCCTATATCCAAAACTACAACTCATGAATACCTATAGATATCCTATGGGATGGTAAAAAACAGTCTAATTCAAACACATTACAGGGATGGAATCAAGATTGTAACCAGTACAAGGAGTTTCTCACTGCAGCATGCAAAATCATCCACTGCTTTTCAGAAAAACAATAGTTTGGTCTTTCCATGGAATACCTCAAGTAACAAAAGAGCCATGCTTACTTTACGCACTTCCCATATATTTATGTTCAACAACTTAAACTCTTCATGCATGATTACAATGAGAAACCAAAAGCTAACAATGAATTTAAAATTTTCTCCCATAAAAGTTATCAGATACACACAATATCAATGGACCAATGAAACACAAGGTAAGAGTCAAAAAATTATGACTAGGTTGCATCTCGTGGACCATGAAGAGGCTTTCTATCTTTATTGTTAAATTTGAAGACTGTATGACACTCGTTGATATTATGAATGAATCTAGAATGCAAAGCAATAATTAGCTCTGGAGTCCAGCTTGACAAACCCTCTTAGCCAAAGGTTTAGAATTCCAAAAGTATGTAATATATAAAAATCTATGAATAAAAAACACAATGATCAACATAAAGAAGGTATCGAATTAGTCTCATATATTGATACAATAATAATATGGGGATCAATCTTCTAGCAAACAATTCAGAATACCTTTAGCGCACTAAATCTATGCAACATGCCCATCTAAAATCTATAAAATGAATCCGCAAAATTGTAGTAAATCGGGAAAAAGTGATCTCTCACCATTGGATCCTGACCTCTTTGCATGCTTCATCTTCTCAAGCTGGACCTGAGTGTCCATAAAAAGCTGCATCTTTTGAACCTCCAAATCTTTTGCAAACTCCATCCTCTGCTTCTCCAATTCAATCATCTGCCTCTGTTTTTCCCCCTCAACCCTCTCGTATATCTCTCCAAAACTCTCGATCGCCCTTGCCAGCCGCCTCATTCCCTCCGTATCCCTGTTCCTCCGTCCACTGCTCTCCTCGCTCGACCTCAAATCCTCCGACTCACCCTCATCCTCCGATTCCTCTTCCACCGCCGCTGCAGCGGCTGCCGCAGCAACAGCCGAATAATTCCTCCTAAAGTACGAATCATCCACCGCCGGCGCCGGACGCTTCTGTGGAAGTACCACCGCCGTGGTCGGCGGCTTCCGGTAGGGAAAAGGAACCACCACAGGTGGTGAAGGCGGTGTCTTTTTAGCCGCCGTAACGCTGGATCCGATCAACACATCAAGTCGGCCATAGAACTGCCAAGAGCTCGCTAGGGCTCCATTAGACTCAGAAACCCTAGCTTTCTCGACCTTGTATTTCTTCTTAAGAGTATCGATCCGGTTCTTGCACTGAACGTCCGTACGCCGAGTCTTCTTGGTGTGGCCGTGAAGGGCGTTGACGGCGTCCGCCACCTCCTGCCAGTCCTTCTGACGGAGGTTGCCGCGGTTGAGCTCCAGATAACGGCGGCCCCAAGCGTCGACGAGAGTAGACGTCGCTTCCTCGCTCCAACAATCCTCACGGAACGGTAACTGACGCGATGTTGCGGTTTGTGGAGCCGATGATTCCGTCAGATCAGCCATAGTCGAAACCTCGGTGGTGGTGGTGGTGGTGGTGGTGGTGGTGTATGGTGGGGTAGAGAGAGAAAGAGAGAGGTGGTGGTTGCGTCGGTGAATGGTTGTTGTCGATGTGGATGATGATGATGTTGATGAGCGGCAATGCGCCGGTAATGGATAGACGCGTGAGGTGCATGTGAAAAGGTGGGGTAAGTACGGTGAGAGGGTCGGTGAGTGGTCGCCGGGATCGAGAGCGCGTGAAGCGACGATTGCGCGAGGATGAGTGGGTGGGTCTCAGTTCGGCTCGGCTTGGACGGTTTGGTTAGGTTATGTTACGTCGCTGTTTCGGATTTTACTATTTTATTCTTTTTTGGACGGATTTGGAGTGTCGTCCGTTGAGGGGAGGGGAAGGGAAGAGAAGAGGGAAAGGGAAGGGAGGGGTTTCTTGACACTTTCAACCCTTTTTTTTTTTTTAAACGAAAACTCTTTTAATCTAATAATCTTTAATATACAGGCCCTAAAATAGGTGAAATCAACTGCAAATCACACATGATAATTTTTGTTTGTATACATGAATTTTGATACTTTTGTCTTGAAAAATAAAGACTAATTTAAACAAACCTCCCTTATAGTTTGTCATAATTACAAGGATTTCCCTTCCTGCTTCGAAAATTATTCGGACCTTTTCTAATTTTGAAAATATCCTACACTAATGTGTGACTGACCGTTAAAATGTCAAATTTACTGAAATGCCCTCAATTTTCTATAATGCAATTCTTATAAGCTATTTCGATTAAAATGCTCACTGAGTTGACGAGACATGGTTCACTCTTGCGAAGAGGATAGAGGCCTAAAAAGGAAGACTATTAGCTTAGCTGCTTTGGAAGAAAAATGGAAAGATTTTGCAATTTGACAGAAAGGGCCAAGGAGACAGCTACATAACCTGTTGTGATGCTTTGTATGTGACCAATGTGACAAAGAATCATATTTCCTTTTATAAGATCATTGAAATTCAGCCTAGAAATAATATAGTAGACATAACCCAAATCCCTCCAATATACAACAGTGTCATCTAAGAATGGAAATAATGAGTTTATGCTAAATTATTGAAGCTCTACTGTAATTTTTAGAGGAATTGTATTGGAGAGAAAAACAAAGATGATTAATCTCTATATACGTCCAATTAGAAGTGCTTACGGGAATTCTTCACCAATCTCTTACAACGATACTAAGAGAGGATTTATATATACGCTTCTCGCCGTCGTCATCGCCGTCTCACAGTATCAAGCTTCAGCTTCCAGCGAATGAGCAGACAGAGATTCTGACTCTTGCACAGCCAAGAAAAAGAGAACAAAAACATCATCTGTGGTGACCTGAAATCTTTCTGCCTTGTTTTTGAGAAGTCAAAATAGGTTGTTTTTCCTCTTGTGTCTTACAGCATCGTCGTCGCCATCTCACCTTCACAGATCCTCGCCGTCGCCGTCTCACAGCCTCGCCGTCACAGATGCTCGTGGTCACTATCTCACAGCCTCGCCATCGCCATCTCACAGCCTCGCTGTCTCAAACCTACCACCACAACCCGTCTCTGTCACAAATACCCACCACCACGACCCGTCGCCGTCACAGATACCCACCACCACAACCCGTCGTCGTCACAGATCCTCGCCGCCATCACCACTGACTAAACCAAATGAAGCTTTAGTAGATGAAGGCTTGATATATATATATATATATATATATATATATATATATATAATACCAACTATATATATATATATAATACCAACTATATATATATATATAATCTTTTAAATATAATATGTAATTATATAGACAAGGGTATTTTAGGAATTTTAATAAAATTGTAGTTGGCGTCATCATTTTCCGTCATTGATTGCCGTTGACTCTAGCAGAAGGGAGGTCTGTGTACGATATTTTCAAAATTAGGGAAGGTCCGAGTAATTTTCGAAACAGAAGGGGAAGTCCCTATAATTATGGCAAATCATAGAGAAGGTTTGTGTAAATTACCCAAAAATAAATTTTCATCAAATCCTTTAAATCCAAGTACAAGGTTGGAAGTTTTTTTCATTCACTTCATTCAATAAAGTGTTAAAAAAAAAAATAAAAAATAAAAAAAAGAAAAGAAAAGAAAAGAAGAAGAAGTAGATTTCACTTAATTACATGAAGTGAAGAAAAAATACTTCCCTCCTTTATTTTTAACATTTCAAGAAACACAAACTCACACGCTCATAAGGATGGTAGTGAACGGAGTTGAGGTGGTTTTAGCAAAACCCCACTCTGCTACAAAATTAGTTATACCAACTATATCCCTATTCCGAGACGAGTTTATAATTGGTATCATATCCCCGCTTCTACTCCGATAAACAAAGTACCGACTCTGCTCCATTGCAGGACGCGGCGGATTATGCCACTTTTATTATATAATTAAAAAATAAAAACAAACAAACAAACAAAAGAGTCCAATGTGTTCAAATTGAACTGATAAATAAACTAAACCAGCTTTTAAAATTCCAAATAATGAATATTAATTTTTTAACTGACACTTACAGTAAAGTAACAGTTGTCTTAAAAATATTAAATACATGCATTATTTATATATATAAATTTTAAAGGTACACATATAATCGAGGCAAGTCGAGGCGGATTCATCATTAAATACGTCTCTGCCCCAAACCCATTTCATATTTTCAATTGTTTTACTATAACCGTCCCAAATCAATTTAAGAGACTAGCAAATCCACCTCATTAAAGGCAAGACGAAGCAGAAACCAAGTAGAAATTGTAGTCCCTACACACTCACTCATATACACAATTTTTTTAGAACAATACTTGACTACTCACCTGTGAGTGGGAAGCTTATACTCACCACGTATGTGGCGTAATGTTAGACTGACAAGTATTTTTTAAAATAATAAAAAAATAAATAATTTGATAACTATTCGGGTTAAACCCAAATGAATCCGAATTAAATTATAATTCTTTCTCATCTTCCTTATGCATCCCTAATCTCATCCACCTCTCCCTCTCATCTAGCGAGCCAACCAACAGTGATAAAGTTATCGCAATAAGTTCTCTTTCTTTCATGATCTGTATATGAGAAGGAAGATTTGACGTTGTCTAAAATACAATGAGAGCTCAGTACTTTATTTCACATAAAAAAATAATTTGTCAATGAAAAATAGTTTCAAGTTTCATAGGAAACTGTTTACAACTGTTTCCGAAGAACTGACTAACATGGCAAGAACTACTTGGCACCACAAATAGTAAGAGTTCCAGAATATCGGCGGACAGTACTAACAAATCATACAAATTATTAACAATTATTCAAAATTCATGGTTAAGGAGCGGGACAAGAGCAAGAATTAATCCTGAAATTAGAGAAGCCTGAGAAAAAGGAAGAGAGAGAATTAGAATTTAATTCGGATTCATTTAGGTTTAATCCGAATAATTATCAAATTATTTATTTTTTTATTATTTTAAATGTAAGGACACTTGTCAGTTTAACATTGCGTTACATACATATGGTGAGTATAAACTTCCTACTTGTAATACCCCGATAATTTTAAAAGATTTATTAATTAGGATTAATTATTTTATTTTATTTTTCAATGATTTATTTTATTTTATTGAGTGCTAGATTAATTATCTTATTTTAATTAAGTTATATTTCGTGATTATGTATGATGATTGATTGTTTGTGTGGTTGATTATTGATTGAATTATTGGTGTGTTGATTTTGTTGGTATTATATGACTTAGTTGTAAATTCTTGTTTGTTTATGTGCTTCATGTAATTAGTTATTTTAATTTCTGTATTTAATTAATTATCTTATTTATTTAAATTAATTGGATTGGGCTTAAGGAAAGTTGGACCAAAAGATGTGGTCTTGGGCTTGTATGAAACCTTATTGGGTTAATTAATGAAGGTCCGTGGTTATTTAATTATTTAAATGATCACTTTTGTATCAATTATATTTATATTTATATATATATATATATATATATAATTATATATAAATATAATTAATTAATAATTGTTATGGAAAGATATATATATAGATATATATTTATTGATATTTATAAGTATATATGATTTAATTAACTAATGAGTTAATTATGGAAGGAATATATATTTATATATAATATATGTTTATAGATATAAATTATTTAAAGGTTATTTCTTTAATTCATAATACTAGTTGGAATAGGATTTATAAGTATATATGATTTAATTAACTAATGAGTTAATTATGGAAGGAATATATATTTATATATATATATGTTTATAGATATAAGTTATTTAAAGATTATTATTTTAATTCATAATACTAGTTGGAATAGGATTTGGAATTTAAGGTGTATAAAAATACACATAAGGCTTTAGGGTTAAAGGTTTTACACGTTAGAAAAATAAAACAGACAGAGAGAGAGGAAGAAGAAGGGCTGACAAGGAGGAGGTCGGATCTGAAAAGGAGGACGTCGGAATTGGAAGAGATAATTAAAGCTTAAAGCGTCGGTTTCGTTTCGAAACCTTCAGGCGAGTTCTTCTCTAACTTTCCTCTTAGAACTCATAAGGATTTCACCTTGAGTATCAAAATTTAAGATTAAATTTATTGATTAAATGATGGTTAGAACGGAATCTTAAAAATATGAATTATTATATTTTATTTTTGGAATTTTAGATTTTTATTATTTTATATATGTGTTGTATATTTTGTTTACATCAATCGATAGGCTGGATCTAGACCCAAGAGGGTTAATTAGTGTTTCTAGCATTTATGAGAATTTTCTGGAATTTTTAGATTAATTTTAGAATGTGTTTTATATTTTTTGGAATTATTCAAGAATTATTTTCTATCTTAATTTGGCAAAATTATATAGATAATTTATAATATATATATATATATATATATATATATATATATATATATACAACACTGGAGGCGGCGTTTGTAAGGTGGGCGCAACAATAGGGTAGTAATCTGGTGTAGGACGGTGCATGGTAAGAGGTTACACCACTAATCTGGGCCATTGGAATAGTTTAGATATAAGTGGAATGATTCGGTGCATTGCGGTGTACACAAAAGAGTGCACATGTGAATCTGGACCATGGATTAAGTTTGGTCAACAGAAGATTGATCTGGTGTGGGTGCATACATGTGAGCTCAAGTGAGCTAATCTGGTGTGGGTGCGTTTGTGTGAGCTCAAGTGAGCTAATTAAGTGTGGGCGCGCTCACAGTAGTGTTTGAGCTCAGCCAATTATTTTGCCTGTTTGTGACATAAAATTAAAACGGTCATAACTTAGTCATTTTAAATCGAAACTGGGTCATTCTTGAGCTCAAATTCAAGGATTTTTCGTCCTCTTTCCAATGGTACCAATTTCATTATCAGATTCTTATCCTAATAAGAGATATTTACGTTTTAGTGAGACGGTGTCGGAAAACTATTTAAACCGGTATGGAGTATTTAAAGGAAACTATTTCTGACATATTTAGTTGTACTAATTTGTGTAAATATAATAAATTAATAATTTGTTATGGAAGGAAGTGTATATATATATATATATATATATATATATATATATAAAATTATTTATA